GTCCTTCAAGCCCCACCATGGCAGCCTGACACACCAGCACAGCTTAATAAATCAGATAGTGTTCCTTCTGGTTGTGGCACGGGGCTGGAAATAGCTGTAAGGCATGAAAAGATGAGCAAGAAGAAGGGGGAACAAAAGTCACCACCAGGAGTTTATTGCACCCACCTCTGCCATGGGGCGAGTCCCAGCCCAGGCATCGCCGTGCGAGCTGCTGCCTCACATCAACTCCCCTCAGTTTCTCCTAATTGAACCTGTTTATCATTTAAGGTGTAGAATAACCCAGTTTTCTGCTTGGAAATTTCCTTTTGGAGGGTTGTGGGGTTTTTTTTCTGGTTTATTTTTTGCGTGCTGGTTTGTTTGCTCCCAAAGGCTTTGGAAACGGTGACGCGGTGCACGGGAGCGGAGGTTGTTTATGTTGGGGGGGTGCAGGGCTGGGGGGAGCTGCTGGGGGTTCTGCAGGGGCTTGGGAGCCTCCTCACCTGTCTGGTTTGCCTTTGCTGCAGCCCAGGTGATTCACCAGTGAAACTCCCCCAGCCACAAATTTATCATCTTTGCCAGGATTATGGAGGGAGGTGAGGAAGGAGGTGTCGTAAGAGCCAGGGCTGCCTGCCCCTGTCCTGGGCCAGCTGGGGCAAGGCAACCCCAGCCCTGCACGACTAATTCAGAGTCATAAGATTAAATAATAAAATAATTTGTGTCTTTTAAAAGTGTTTTTAAAATAAATAAATAAAGCTAACGTTTGCTTTCACAGCAAACAGTGACGGTCCCCGAGTCACCCGGTGCCCCCAGGGGATGGGACTCGGGGTGCAGAGGTGGGATAGAGCTGGAGCTGAGCCCCCCTTCTCCCCACAGTGGGCAGAGAGGGGGAAAAGAAACCCTTGGTGGGTGACCAAAAAAAATCAGCAGGAGGGGTGTGTGGAGCCCCGGGAAGGGGGTGTGATGCTCTGCACCCATCCTACCCACTTCACTCCCTGGTGCTGGCCCTGAGTGCTGTAAGAATGGTTTACCCCAGTTTTCTTAGAGATTACTTTCCCTTTGATTAGACAAACAACTTCAAGCCCTACATCTTAATTTGATTTGAATAAGTCTAGTGCTTGCTGTGAAGTTTTTTTCCTCCCTTTTATTTCCCCCTTTTCTAAATCTGCTGTCACTGCTCTTCATGACCATAAATGATTAAAAGCTTTAGAGCAATATTGTCACCCACATCCCTTAAAGTCCTGTTGGATTACTTGGGTCATATTTTTTATTACTTTTTTTTTTTTTTTCCTTGCTGTGTGATTCTCCCTTTTCCTTATTAAACAATCAGCCAGGTGAAAGGGATTAGTTTTCTCCTGGTCTCTTGCAGAGCAGGGAGAGGGCAGGGAGTGGGTGCAGGCACCCTGCCCCACTTACCACTGATGTTATCCTGAGCTTTCCCTTTGGGTTCCTGCTCTGGGGCTGGATCCAGCTCATGGCTTTGGTTTCTGCAGCCAAGGGAGGAGAAGCTCTTTCCTCTAAGTGCCATTTCCCATGGGAGGACATGGCCAAGCAGGTTGGTGCAGCTTGAGCTCTCCAAGGGGCTGTGAGCAGCCCCACTGAGCAGGGACTGGCTCTCCAACACAGCCCCAGGTTGCAGCAATCATATTGATTAATAATTAGGGCACTCAGAAATCTCTATGGGCATAAAAATAAGGTGCTTTTTTCCTTGCAGGGGGTTCTGAAGGGAGCGATGCTCCCTGGACTAAGTCCTCTCTCAACAGTAGCCCTTTGGTGATGGCTGGTCCCCAGGTCAGTGCTGGGGCTTCCTGCTGTCCCTTGGGCTGGGAGAGCAGCTCAGGGCTGGCACTGGCACTGCCATCACCTCACTGCTCCCTGCCAGCTGCAACGAGGCACCTCTTGTGCCTCAAAGAGGGAATCTTGAGCTCCCTGCAGCCTGCCAGGCAGGGAGCTGCTCAGGAGCTTGCACCCCAATGGTCCGTCGTCCTTCTGTCTGTCTGTCCATCCATGCATGCACAAGCTGCAGGGCTGGAGCAAACCAGACCATTTTCTGGTGTGGCTGCAACCCTTGGTGGTGGTAGAGCTGGAGGAGCCAGCAGAGCTCCTGTCCCAGTGTGGGGGGGTATCTGGAAGCACCCAGGCTGCAGGACCATGCCTTCCCTCTCCTCCTTTATTTTCCAAGCTGGTGCCTGGTTTCTTGGGTTTTTCCTCCCCAGGGTTGTCCTGGGGGAGGTGAGTTGTCCATCAAGCAGGGTGTGAGAGGTGGTGGCAGTGGCTGCTGGCTGGCACAGCAGCAGTGCCAGCACCATCCCTGCCCCAGCTGGTGCCAGGGATGGGGTTAGGGTGCTGCTGGGTGACACAGGGAGACGTGGCCTGGAGGCCTCATCAGCAGGGATTTCTGCACCTTGGTTTGCTGTCCTTTATGGAACAGGGAGTCTCCTCCACCCTGGGTGTGTTGCAAGCAGGTTTGGAGGAGCTGGAGGTGCCTCCTCAGCCCCCCAGCGATGCCTGGGGAGGGGGGTCCGGGGGGGACTTGTCTTTTCGGGCCAAACCCCACCATTTCTCCCCGGTTGCCTGGGGTGGCACAGCCCTGCTTGGGGAGCAAAGCCCTTCTGCTTGGGCAGGAGGGTGGCCTCGGGGTTTCCCTGTTGCCTCTGGACCCGTTTGCAGCGGGTCCGTGCGGGCAG